AAGATAAATCATTTTATCATGGAAAAGGAATTTCTTTCTATGCCTAGTTTTTAAAAATTTTCATCAGAATTGCATATAGAAGTTGTCAAAAATTTTTGTTTGAACCTACTGATGTGGTTCCTGATAGTCACAGTTTTCTAATCTTAAATTAATCTTAATTTATATTTTCTAAAATATAGTGTTCTGGGTTGTGGAAGGCTAAATCATTTCATGCACTTTCAAGTTTACTGGTTGCTCTTAAGACACACTGTGTAGTACTGCATTAAGTGATCCTACTTCATCCCTGAGAATGACTTGGAAAACTCAAAGCATTTGACTCTCAGTATTAATCAGGGTCAGCAAACTGGCCTGTCACCTGTTTTTGTATGTCCCAAAAGCCTTTAAGAATGTTTTTTACATTTTTAGATGGTTGAAAAAAAATTTTTTAAGACAAGGTCTTGCTCTGTCACCCGGGCTGGAGTCCAGTGGCACTGACACTGGAAAGTGACTTCCAGTGCTCGGAGCTTCTTGAGGTCCAAGTGGGTCCTTGGCTTCATGCAAGAAAGAATTCAGGAGCAAGCTGACAGCTTGAAGTGAAAGTGAGAGTTATTCAGAAACTACAGAAAGCCTACTCCACAGAGCAGAGGCTAGTTCTCCCTGCAGAAGAGAACCAGCCTCCTGGTTCCTGTTGCCTTTCTATTTGAGCTACGGCTTAATTATAGGCTAAGCAAGGCGAGGAATATTGATGACAGGGGTGGCGTTTCACCTTCTGGGTTCTAACGGGTTGGAACTTACCCTGACTCCATCCTATTTTGTTTGTTTGTTTGTTTTGCTCTGATTTAGTCACAAAACCCGTTGTGTTTTGTGTGGGTAATTGAAACTTTGGTTTGAGACTTCCTGACTCAGTTAGGCAATGGCGCAGCAATGCCCAAAGCAATGCCCAGTGCAGTACCTGCCGGTTCCCTGTGTCAGCATGATCATAGCTCATAGCACACAGCAGCCTCAGACTCCTGGGCTCAAGCGATTCTCCTGCCTCAGACTCCCGAGTAGCTGACACTGCAGGTATGTGCTACCATGCCCAGTTAATTTTTATTTTATTTAATTTTTTGTAGAGACAGGGTCTCCCTCTATTGCCTAGCTAGAGTGCTGTGGTGTCAGCCTAGGTCACAGCAACCTCAGACTCCTGGGCTTAAACGATCCTCCTGCCTCAGCCTCCCAAGTAGCTGGGACCACAGGTGCGCTCCACCACGCCTGGCAAATTTTTTCTATTTTTAGTAGAGACAGAGCCTCGCTCTTGCTCAGCCTGGTCTTGAACTCCTGACCTCAAGTGATCCTTCCGCCTTGGCCTCTCACAGTGCTGGGGTAACAGGCATGAGCTACCATGCCCGGCCAGGTTGAGCACCTTCTGAATGCTGAGCGCAAGGCTAGGCTCTGAGGATACAGAGGAAAACAGGAGGATCCCTGTCCTGAAGCTGCTCACGGTCTAGTGAGAAAAGCAGACATAGAAAAATAATTCTGCAAGTATGAAGTGTCCGCTCTGCCGTGTTTGAGGAAGGCCACGCCATTCCCAGCCCTCCTCCCCTGTGGCGCCGGGTCATTTTCCCAGCTCCCTGGCAGCTAGGACTGCACATGCAGCTCAGTTTTGGCCAATGAGACATAGGAGAGATCTGCTGAGCAATGTCTGGTAAAACTCTTCAGAGTAAAGGCGATGCCACAAGTGACACCATCACTGTCCCCCTCTTGCCTGCCCTTGGATGGGGTTGTGATGGTGGCACAGTGGGAGCTGGGCGGCCGTCTTGTGCTTGTGTGGTGGTGAGCGCCTAGACAACGGGTCCTCGATGGCACCGTGGAGCTGCCCCACCAAGCCCGGAGCTACCTACCTTCGGGGACTCCAAATTATGACATCGTTACAAGTTGTTGTTGCCTAAAACAGTCGTTCTCAACCGGGCTGATTTTGCCCTCCAGGGGACATCTGGTTTTCTCCAGTGGGAAGGGTACAACTGTCATCTGGTGAGTGGAGGTCAGGGAGGCTGCTGAGCGTTCTACCATACACGAGATGTCCCCTGTGTCATGGTTTGGAGACAGGGGCAGGTTTTCATCTGCCATGTGCTAGCAGTATCATTTAAGCATTTTATTTTATCACTTTGAACCTCCATGTACTGATCTGTAAGATAACAGTCTATTCTTTATAAACGTCGTTGTGGGGTAAACACAAGTAATGTGCTGTAGAAGTTCTTAGCGCGGGCCGTGTTGCAAATGGGTGTTGTCATCACTGTCCCTGTGAGGACGCCAGTGCGGGGAGCAGGCGTGCAGCCCTGTCCAGTGTCAAAGGCTTTTCCACTCCATCGGGAGGTCACCTGAGTTGCCCACTTGCAGCGGGGACCCAGGAACCACTGAGAGGGGGGAGAGTCTGGGAGCCACTGGAGGGCCAGGAAGAGTCACGAGCCGGGCAGCCTGGAGGGGCTTGAGACCACGGAGCACTTCAGGCACAAGACTCGAATCCATCGTTTTACACAGCAACCGAAAGAATATTCTGAGACTACTTTTGGGCCAGGGACTTTGGTCCTTGGTCCTGACGGGGATTGGCAGAGGGTAAAGTCACAGTCTTCCCGATACCGCTCACTGCCGGGAGGAGGAAGCGCCTGGAGGCTCGGTGGGTCGGATCCCCCAAAGCCGGGCTGCACTGGTGCTGGCAGGTGCAGGCAGGGGCGGCCCCCAGGGAGGGCGTGCCTGCCGCGCCCGCCTGCTCTTTGCTCCGGGATTTCCATAGGCAAATGGTTTTGCCAGGACGGGGGCAGGTTTCTGGGAAGCAGGGTTCCACATGCAGAGAGGTTTGAGTGTCCCTAGTGAACATTCTTCTCTTAGATTTGTCACTCGGAACCTCCACACCCAGCACTCCTGGGACAGGGTCCTTCTCTTCACCCCTGTCCACTTGATACCTTCATTTTCACTCCAGACCACGGTTATCTTCTGTGTCCCGTGTTGTGTGCCCAGGCCACACGGGAGGGCAAGTAGTCTTTCTAAACAAACATACAGACTCTCAGGGGAAAAATTGTCACCATTTTGTGAATGTGCCACTCTTTATTCATTTTCCTGTTAATGGACAATTGAGTAGTTTTAAGTTTTGTTTGTTTTTTTTGGTTGTTTGTTTTGTTTTGTTTTTTTGAGACAGAGTCTCGCTTTGCTGCCCAGGCTAGAGTGAGTGCCATGGCATCAGCCTAGCTCACAGCAACCTCAATCTCCGGGCTCAAGCAATCCTGCTGCCTCAGCCTCCCGAGTAGCTGGGACTACAGGCATGTGCCACCACGCCCAGCTAAGTTTTTCTATATGTATTAGTTGGCCAATTAATTTGTTTCTATTTTTAGTAGAGACGGGGTCTCGCTGTTGCTCAGGCTGGTTTCGAACTCCTGACCTGGAGCAATCCGCCCGCCTCGGCCTCCCAGAGAGCTAGGATTACAGGCGTGAGCCACCGTGCCCAGCCTGTTTGTTTTTTTGACACAGAGTCTCACTCTGTTGCCCAGGCTAGAGTGCCGTGGCGTCAGCCTAGCTCACAGCAACCTCAAACTCCTGGGCTTAAGCGATCCTCCTGCCTCAGCCTCCCAAGTAGCTGGGACTACAGGCGCGCACCGCCATGTCTGGCTAATTTTTTTTATATATTTTTAGTTGGCCAATTAATTTATTTCTATTTTTAGTAGAGATGGGGTCTCGATCTTGCTCAGGCTGGTCTTGAACTCCTGACCTTGAGCGATCCACCTGCCTCCGCCTCCCAGAGTGCTAGGGTTACAGGTATGAGCCACCACCAGTCTGTTTTAACCATTTTTAAGTGTACACTCCTTCGTAGGGCTGTAGAACCACCTCCGCTGTTCAGCCATCTCCAGAACTTTTTCATCCTCCCAAATGGAAGCTCTGTGCCCACTAAACATCCCCTCCTCTTGCTTTTATGATTTTTTCTGTGTGTTTCTCTCTTCCCCGCTACTCGGTGGACCCCACGAGGGTGAGGCCGGGCTGGGCCTGTCTACCCTGCGTGAGCGAGAGCGTGTGCAGCACACAGGGCCTGGAGCCAGTGCCTAACCACGTACAGTTTCGAGAAGCAAGTGAAAAATATGGAATATTGTTTCACTCTTGCTTGTAGGATGGGTCACTTCTTGGGCTAATAAGTTCTCTAAATTTAGTGCTGAGACAGTGTCTAGCACCCAGATGGGTCTGAAACCAGCTTTGTTGACCGCATGAACGAAGCGTTGACGACTCTGCTGCAACACGGAAATACCAGTCCTTTATTGAACGCGTGCCAAGGGCCAGGCACTGCGAACACACGGAAAGAACTCAGGAAGGCGTCTGCCACGCGACACATCTTCTTCCTGTCTTTATGGATCATCCCACCTGGTCCTGCCATTGCCTCTGAGGTGACTGCTCATTTCCTAAGTGAGAAGCGAGCTCAGAGACATCGTGTCCCCTGCCGGCAGTCACACAGCTGGCAGACAGCTCCAGTAGGGGCCATCCCAAAGCTCACTGCTCCCGTGGTTGTTTTTCAATGTCTCTCAATGAACCAAATAGGATTTCCAACATTTTTTGCTTTCATTTAAACAAAACTTTCAGCAAAACACATACTTTAAAAAAAAAAAATAAACAAAACTAGTTTTTCTTTTCTGATTATAAACATGAATGTATTCTCTGTAACAAAAAATCAGGCACTACAGAAAGAAGTCTGTTTTTTTTTAAGACTTCTTAGAATGTTCTCCCCAGATCTATGGCAACTCTGCCCAGGAGCAGTGGCCCTGGAAAACACAGCCCTTTCCAGCTCTTCCTTCCAGGTTTTGTCTCCAGGTCAAGAAATGTGTGTGTTCCATTGGGAGCTTTCTTTCTAGATCGCTCTGTCCACAGTGGTCTTCGGGGAGAACTGAGGGAGGGTGTAGGGGTGGTAAAACTACTTCCCCGAACCTGCTTTTCCATAAAGGCTTGTTTTCAATTCCACAGACTGGCCTCCCTCCAGCCGGGCCTGAGGTTTTTTCTGAGCATTGGTTTCTTATTGGGGTTTGGGCGCAATAAGGAAGTTGTCAAGTGAAACTGTTTTTTTCCAGGGTAGATGAGCTAAGTGTCCTATCAGTGGGAGAGGCGAAGCGTAGCCCGTGGAGGCAAGAGGGCCGGCCCTTGGCTGTCCGGATTGGCTGTCCATGAGCTCAGCTCCCGGGAGATACGCTATATATGACCATATATATATATGACCAAAACATCTTCTGACACACTCTGAAAATCGCCAGCAGCAAATAGCAGCGTCTTCTCCCTGGGAGAGCTGGACCTGACCCTCATCAGACACAACCTCCAGCCAACAGGGAGCAGTGCCTAACCCAGAGCCTCTGCTCTGGGGATCCCAGCCCAGGGTGGCCCAGGACAGGAGCGACCTCCGAGGGCTGAGGTTGGTTGAACAATACCCTCTCCCCTGGGCTTTGGGGCAGTGGGTAAGGTATCTTGGGGTCCTAAGAGGAGAATAGTCCTGGGAGTCAGATCCTGAGTCCAGTCCCAATTCCTGCTGGGCCCACCCTGGGCCTCAGTTTCCTTATCTCTAAAAAGATGGAGCCAGGTTCAATGACACGATCTCAACTAGGTGTAACTCGAAGAGCTCTCCACCAACTTGGTCTTAAAAGCTCTGTACGCAAGTCTCGATCCTGCTTATTAGCTGCCACCCTGAGCAAGGAACTTCACTTCCTTGGGCCTCAGTTTCCTCATCTGTAGAAGGGGGGCAGCATTACATGGCTCACCTGCTAGTTTCCCTACGTATGTCGTGGAGGCTGACTTACAGACTTTATGGAAAGGTACATAGAAGAGGGACCCTCCAGGCAAATGGGAGGTGTTATTATTACTGTAGTTGGATGAAAGTTCTGTGATTTTTGAGGTTTTGGGAAGTTAGTCCAAGGACAGGGAGATCTTATGAAGAGAACTCTGGTGGCCCACTGCTCTCTCTGATGAGGATGTAAGGGTTGGGGGCGTATGGCCATCGCCCTGGCCCGCTACGCATGCAGTGCTGCACTATGGTCCTGGGCAGGGGACGCGACGGGTGGGGGCGGGGCACAGGTGTCTGGGTCTGGGTACATGTGGACGTGGGACTCTGCGTGTGTGCGGGTGTGAAGTCGCACTCTCTGGCAGAGCAAACGGCGGATTTGCCCCCCGCTGAGTCCACGCGCACGCGTGTGTGTCGCTGCTTGCTCGAGGCCGCTTGGTGTTGGAGAGAGAAGATAGGATTTAGAATCTGGAGCCGTGGATTCGAGTCTCCGCCCTCAGCCTCTGGCTATGGGCCGTGGGCAAATCTCCCGGTGGTTCAGAGCCTCAGTGCCCGCTGCTGGCCCGTGGCCAAGAGTAAATGGGAGAACGCAAACGAAAGGGCTCTCCCATGCCTTGTGGCAGCAGAAAGGTGAGCTGGTTTGTGTTTGCACATATCTGTGCACCAGTGTGCTCCTGCGATCCACGGGCGTCTGTGTGTCGACTGTGGGTCCACGCGTGTGCCGCACGCACACTGCCCCTCTGGGTGCTGGCGTGGGTGTGTAGCGCGTGGCCTTTTGCTAAACACCTGTTGTGTGAAGTGCCGGGGTGCAGAAGAGGAGTGCAAAATACCTCTATGGCACCAGAGCAGTGACAGAATACCTGGCCAGATGACTAAATTAGAGAACAGTATGTAGACGAGGTTAGTGTACAATTTAGAAAATAAACCAAACACAATTATCTGGGCGTGGTGGCGCATGCCTGTAGTCCCAGCTTCTCAGGAGGCTGAGGCAGGAGGATCGCTTGAGCCCAGGACTTGGAGGTTCCAGTGAGCTGTGATGACGCCACTGCACTCTAGCCTGGGTGACACAGCGAAACTCTGTCTCAAAAGAAAAAAAAAAGTTAGTAAAGGAAAAAGAAAATAAATCAAATGCAGCCGCAGCGTGCTTGGGAAAAATAGGCAAACTTCCTGCTCCAGGGTCAGCTTTGTGCTTTCTCTGGGCGGCTGTTGTTGTCGTTAGACTCGTCACTGGTGTATGTCATGCCTTACCAGAAGTCCTGTGATCTTCGGCTCACTCGAGTATTTCTGAGCTCATTTGGACTTTGCTCTGAAATCCACTCTCCACCAAGGCCATAAACAAGTTTACACGAGCAGAGCAGACAAGTTTCCAAGCAATGACCCCGCTGCTATCTTGGGGTTACTGGCCTGGGAGCAGGGCGGGGTTCCCCCACCATCCGGCCAAATGTAGGTGAGCACCTTTGGGCACAAAAGAAGAAAAAAGAGGAAAGAAAAAGGAAGCTTTGCTTTGATGAATTTTAGATAAGCAGAATTTTACACTTGGAAAAAGGCTTGAGGGGTTCAATTTTGGATGGGGGAGGTTGTTAATATTAAAACACAGTGTTCTCAGGGTGTAGAGACTTTAAGAGTCCGCAGAGGTTCTCCAGGTATCTCCCTGGGGGCGGTGGGTTTGCCCTCCCTGGCCAGCGCGCTGGCTCAGTCTTTGGAGCGTTGAGGAGGAGGAGCAGTCGGAGAGGGCGGGAGAGACAGGTGGCCCAGGAGGACACACTCACAGAAGGAAGTGGGTACGGCATCAAATGCCGCAGCACCTTAGGGAGGATGAGGAAAGGGAAGAGATCACGGGATTTGGAATAGGCCCTGGGAGGTCCTGGAATCTCTCTGCACTGGGACACTTTAGGACGCCTGCGGCTGCCCGTCACCCAGCCCCGCCCCTGCCTCTGCACTGCAGCAGCCACTGCGGGGCTCCTTTCCTGAGGGCCTCCCGCCTCCCTCTGGGCTAGGGCAATGGTTATTCCAGGCAGGGGTGGCCAAATCAAGGTCGTTTTTATTATTTTGAAAAAAAACATCAAGAAGGAAAACACTTTGCTGGTGGGATTGTGCTGATGTTCTGATTAGAAGTAGCAGTGTGTCCCCTGAATGCAGTGAGAGGGTACTGCAGCCACCCGCCAGGCGAGAGCCGTTTCCATAGCAATGACAGCTTCTTAAAAGCTCCAGCGCCTCTCCCGCCGGCTGGGCTAGCTGCCTGGCCCTCTGCGCCATGTCAGCGCAGGGAGAAGCGCGGCCCGGCTGGGCGGGAGTGTCCTGTGGTTCGGCTGGTTTTGTGGTTGTGTTATTGAATAGCTTCTCTGCCAACCACATCCAATTTGCCCCGACCACAGGCACACACGGAAAAAGCAGAGAGAACCCTGACGCTGTTTATGTTTCTGGCTCAGCTTACTTTGATCTTATAATCAGAGAGAACTTCCACCTAAATTTATCTTCTCCTAAGACTGTGAGCTGCTAAAGAGAGAGCAGACGCAGGGGCGCGGCGCGTTCCCGCCATCACTGCGTACGCACATCCCCACTTCCGCCCGTTCGAAGGGGACCGGAATGTTCTTTTTGGGGACACGCACTGTATCTATTCATGATTACATCCCTAGCGCCAAGCATGATTTCTGGAGCATAGTGGGTGCTTATTAAGTGTTTGTTGAAGGAAATAAATGAGCACAAACACAAATATTTCCCTCTACGGTTTGTTCTCCTTGGCCTACCCCTACCCTGTTTCAGAAGCACCGCCAGCCTCTGAGGCTGCACGAACATGGTGCATTTCCATATGCGGCACAGGCACGTACTGCTGAAAGTTTCTGGTAGCCCAGATGTTTTTCCATCCAAGGCCAAATAAAAACGGCCTTGATTTGGCCACCCCCTGCCTGGAATAACCATTGCCCTAGCCCAGAGGGAGGCGGGAGGCCCTCAGGAAAGGAGCCCCGCAGTGGCTGCTGCAGTGCAGAGGCAGGGGCGGGGCTGGGTGACGGGCAGCCGCAGGCGTCCTAAAGTGTCCCAGTGCAGAGAGATTCCAGGACCTCCCAGGGTCTCCTATTCCAGATCCCGTTATCTCTTCCCTTTCCTCATCCTCCCTAAGGTGCTGCGGCATTTGATGCCGTACCCACTTCCTTCTGTGAGTGTCCTCCTGGGCCACCTGTCTCTCCCGCCCTCTCCGACTGCTCCTCCTCCTCAACGCTCCAAAGACTGAGCCAGCGCGCTGGCCAGGGAGGGCAAACCCACCGCCCCCAGGGAGATACCTGGAGAGCCCCTGCGGACTCTTAAGTCTCTACACCCTGAGAACATTGTGTTTTAATATTAACAACCTCCCCCATCCAGTAGCCCAGATGTTCCTTTTAGGGAACATTAAACAATAAACAAAGCCTTTCAAATTGCCTGCCTCCTCCCTGGCCCGATCTCTCGTTTCCTACAAGGTCACCTGCGTGCGGACACCCAGCTGTGCTGGTGGCATCCGGTGGCCTTGGTCTTGGCGACCTGAGTCTGCAGCATCGCCTAGTCCTTCCTCCCCCCGACGGGCACTGATAGAGGGAAGGCGCCCCCAATGTCACCGTCACCTTCAAATCTTTCTTCATGTCTCCGTGTCTTTTCTTCTGTGTGTCTTCTTCACATTCCCACAGATTTCAGACATATGAAATTGTAATTATAGATTCTTACTTCTGCCGCTAAGCTGAACACAGCAATAGATACATTTTAGAGTAAATGAATCGGTTGGGGAAGGCAGGAGATAGGATGGAAATACATAATTAACATCCCATGCCTCTAAATACTGCGTAGTCAATGCGTGCTAAACCTGTAATGGCAAATTAGAGTAGGCAACCCATGGCCCCAAGCTTGGAAAGAATCTCTGGGAACTCAGGGTTGGGATTCAAAGCCACCTTTTATTTTTCTTTTATCCTCCACCAACGGGCAAAGGGCCTCTGGCAATTTTGGTGAAGCTGGAAAGCCCTGAGAGTTTCTGATTAAAGACACACAGACCGAGTGCCCTGCCCGCACCCAGGCCCGCTTGCCGCGCCGCCTGGGGGGGCGGGGAAGAGGGGGTGGCGGTTCCTTCGCCCTCTGCGCTGGCCGCTGCTCCACTCTGGCGGGAGAACGGGAGGCTGCCGCTCTGAGATGGGACTCCCGGCGCGTCAACTGCACATCCAAAGACGCGCCGTACACTTTACTGCTGTGTCACGTGTCTATTCATTGATTTGATAGCACTTAGTTAGTGACAGTGACGTGCCAGGTGCTGTTCTAGGCACTCAGGACACCAGACCTAGCAAAACAGACAAAGGGGGGTTTCACAACAAAATTTTGTTTTAAGAGCCCCCATGCTGCCGTGGGGGGGCAAGGAGGGCAGAGGAGAGCGGGGAGACGCTAAGGAGGCGGCCGGAACAGCCGGTGAGCGAGGTGGGGTGCGCGCGGCGCGGGCGCGGGCAGGGGTGAGGCCAGCAGGAGAGAGGAAGGGGCCAGGCACGACTCCATGGTTTCGGCCTGAGCAGTCGGAAGAACAGGGCTGCCACTGCGGAGCTGCCTCGTAAACTATCCCTGCCAGCCTGCCAGGGAGGCAGGGCAGGTCTCAGGTGCGTTTCAGGTGGAGACGAGGGCCCAGGAAAGGTGTGTGAGCTGCCCAAAGTCCCCAGGCCGGGAGGGGGCAGGACCGGCCTCTGGCTCCAGCCGCATTCGATTCCCATTGCTGCTGTAACAGAACGCCCCAGCCCAGTGGCTTTGGAGCAACATGGCTGATTATCATACAGTTCTGGGGTCAGAAGTCCAAAGCCAGTCTCGATGGACGGAAACCGAGGTGTGGGCAGGGCCGAGTCCCTTCCAGAGGCTCTAGAGGGGTTGTTGCCCGGTTTTGGGTTTTGGCGGCGTTTTCCTTTTGGTTGGGGTTTTTTTGGCGATTGGGGCCGTTGCCCCTTCTTCCCCTTGGGGCGTTGCGGAGTTTGGACAGCAGCTTTGAGAAAGTGCCAGTGCACGAGGCCGGCATGATCCACATTAACCGACAGGGCGAACCCGCTGGCCGGCACCGGCCGCCGGCCCGGGCAGTGCCCGGCAGGCCTGAGCCGAGGGAACTGTTTGTTCTCATTGCAGCCCCATGGAGAGCCCGCGGCGCCCCAGGAAGCCGGGGGCAGACAGGAGAACCAAGTCTCTGGACAGGCTGCACGCCCCCAGCAAAGACTCGGAGGCACGGGACCGCGGGGGCCGCTCCCCGCCTGCCGCCTCCTCCAGGACGGCGCTTCGCCGGGCGGCCAGCGACGGGGCCCGGCGTCCGGAGAGCCCGGCCGGCTCTGCGGAGCCTCAGGGCAGCGCGGCCGCAGCCCCCGCTCTGGAGGAGGCCAGGGAGTCTCTCTCCCGCGAGCAGAGGCCGCCACAGGACACCAGGAAGGACAAGGGCCAGCGCCGGGCCCAGCAGGGGTGGCTGAAGGCAGTGCTGAACTTCTTCCTGGGGACCGGCCCTGAGGAGCCCAGGGAACGGGCCAGCAGGAGGCCGAAGGGGAGGGAGGGCCTCCCCCAGCCCACGGAGCCCCCGCAGGCGCCCGGGGAGCCAGCCCTCAGGAGGAGAGCCCACGACAGGAAGGCCGGCCGCAGGAAGCATGGTCGGAAGAGACACGCAGCCGAGGACACCAAGGGGGCTGACGCCGAGGCAGCTGCCGCCCCGCCCTCCAGGGAGGCCGACCTGGGCCCAGCCCGCGGGGGTGAGCAGCCCATGCCTGTTCCCGTGGGACCCCGCCCCACCCGAGCCAGAGTGTGCTGAGCTTGCTCCACACACCTGTCAGCAGAGGGGACAGCGTCACTGTGACCCCTTCACTGAGGCAGAACAGCCCCGTAGCTGACAGCGCCAGGTGAAACTGCCTGAGGTTCCACCATCGCTGGCTGTGTGGCCTGGGGCCGGCAACGTCCCTCTCTGAGCCTCCTTCTTCTTCCTGGATAAAATGCAGACAAAACAGTCTCTTGCAGGAAGGCCGTGCCCACATAGAAAGTGCTCGGCGTGCGGTCGCTGCCGCTGTGAAGCCCTCTAGTGTGCGGCGTGCAAGGCAGGGAGCAGGCCAGCGGAGTCCCACCCCCACCGGCCCACACCTGCTGCTGGGCGCGGGTTCTCGGCCTTGGTTCTGACTTGGCTCCACCGGGAATAAACTTGCCGTGTGACCCTGAGCTTGAGCTGCCCCTCTGGAACCTTGGGCTCCTGTTCACCAGTGGGGGGGCTCGTCCTCAGGGGCCTTCCCATTCTGCCCCCGGACCCGGAGCTGGGCGCCGCCCGGCCCCTGCAGGGAGGTGGAGCTTTGCCCTGTAGCACCCAAAACCCACTGCGCTTTTGAGGGGGAGAAGGGACCCCAGAAGATCCCAGGTGAGGGGTGGGGGACTGAGAGGCACCTGGGTTGAGGCAGCCCCTTTTCCGATAAAACCTGGGCGGGTTCCTCGTGCTCTGGGTAAGCCTAGAGCTGGCCACAGCAGTGCCTGTTGTGCTGTGGATTCTGCGTTGTTTTCTCATGTTGATTAACAGAGCGAGGAGAATGTCACTGACACCCCCACGCACGCACCCACACACCCACCGCTTTCTTCTGCTTTCCAGGCGGGGAGGGCTCTGGGCCCCACCAGTCCTTGCTCGCTGAGGAGGGTAGTGCTGCCGCCTCGGACGTTTCTCCCCAGGCCGCCGGTCAGCAGCGAGAAGACGAGGTCAAAAAGCCTGACCGTGAGTGAGAGCCTCTAGTGCCCTTTTGTCCACGGCTGGGGTGGCTGTCACCAGATGAGAGGGGTTGCTCTGAACGATGACTGAGACCTTGGCTGGTGGCTCTCAAAATATGTGCACTCATCTTTCTTCTTGTGGTACTTCTGGCCACGTTTGCTTATTTTAGAGTCTCCCAGAAGGGAGTCTGAGGAATTGGGAAGGCTGCTGGCAAATGCTCCTGCCTTATGTGCTAATGGGGATGGGACTGTCTTTTAAAATTTTATTTTAGGTGGGTGCGGTGGCACATGCCTATAGTCCTGGCTACTCTGGAGGCTGAGGTGGGGAGATTGCTTGAGCCCAGGAGTTCAAGGCCAGCCTGGGCAACATAGCAAGACCCTGTCTCTAAAAGACAGAGAGAGAATAATACCATATTCATCTAATTCCCTGTAAAAACAAGATGGGTATATTTTAAAAGATGTGAAATGGAGAAGCTATGCATCTGTCAAAGAATAACTAAAAGGTATTTAGTTAGTTGTTCTGCAGGCTGTTCAGTTATTGTAGAGCTAATCATTTTCCCACACGACGGGGAGTCAGCCGGTAGACTGAGTCCAGAGCAAAAGCAGACAGTGTATACGTGAGCGGGAAGGAGGGAGGGACCCTGCAGATAGCCTGGGAACGGGGGTCTGTCTGCATTTCTTTCCACGTGGAGGATCCGCTGGCAGCTAGCAGAGGACTGTCTGAGCACGTTGTCCCTGAGCCAGTCACAGGAAACCATTTCTGCTGTTTGTGGCTTCTCTGTGACACCCGGGACTGCGGCTGAGGCTTCAGTGTGGCAGGCTCTCTCCCTGTCACGCCTGCTGACGTCCTTCTGTCCTCTGCCTTAGCTGGGCTGCGTATCCACACTTTTCCCCAGTGGAATTTTGCAGGTTGAAAGATCAGCGCTAGCCTTGCAAAGTGTTCCAAGCCCAGTCCCTTGTCTGATGTCCCGACAGCTTTCTGAGGGAGGCAGGACAAAGATTATGATCCACATTTCGCAGGGAAAAAGATGAAGGCCCAGAGAGGTTAAGAGACGTACCCAAGTTCACACAGCTTACTGAACACACAGTGGATGTTCACAGACCTGTGAAGTTCAAAGGAAAAAGTAGGGCACGGGTTGACTGCCTGAAGGGCTGACTTGAAATTTCCTACGTGAAATGTCATGCTTTGACTTAGTGCCCTTCCTGCCTGGATCTTCCAACCCTCTCACAGAAGGGCTGGCCCCGGGTGTGTGGTGCTTTCCCCGTTGCATGGCCCGAGGAGATGTTTTAAGAGGAGTCCAGGCTGAGTGAGGTGGCTCAGGCCTGTAATCCTAGCACTCTGGGAGGCCAAGTCAGGAGGATAGCTCAAGGTCAGGAGTTCAAAACCAGCCTGAGCAAGAGCGAGACCCCGTCTCTACTAAAAATAGAAAAAAAATTAATTGACCAATTAAAAATATATAGAAAAATTAGCCGGGCATGGTGGCACGTGCCTGTAGTCCCAGCTACTCAGGAGGCTGAGGCAGGAGGATTGCTTGAGTGCAGGAGTTTGAGGTTGCTGTGAGCTAGGCTGATGCCACGGCACTCTAGCCCGGGGAACAGAGTGAGACTCTGTCTCAAAAAGAAAAAAAAAGAAAAAAAGAAGAGGAGTCCAAGACAGTCATTTAGAAAGAGTTATCAGGGCATTATAAAGAGTAACCAGGTACATTTGCTTCCTTCCAGAGGATGCTATCATCAAGAGGATAGTGGAATTGCTCAAAAGAGCGGGAGACCAGTGGGAAGAAGAGGTGAGGAGTAAACCAGACGTGCAGATCCCCGTCCTTGCAGGCCTGGGTCTGTCTCTCCCTCCCCGAGGGCTCCTGCTGCTGCTCCCAGATCAGCCCTCACCTCACCTGGGGCCGCCCCGCAGCTTGGTGGCTCCTCAGATGCTTCCAGGGGAGATGTCCCCCTCCTCAAGGTCAGGGGCCTGACTCAGTTTCTCTCCTCTCCCTCACAGCAACTTCAAGAGATGGCCCTGCAAAACCCAGCGCCAGTCTCTAGGAAGAAATCCCACGAGAAAAAGTCCAGCTGCAAGAGAGCCTTTTCTCTTAAGAAACACAGCTCTGAAGAGCCCAAGAGGCTGGGCACTGCAGATGTTTCCGGCCCCGAGGCCCGGCCGCCCAAGAGGCCCAGCTTTCTGCCCCTGGCCCTGTGCGTCGGTGGCCATCGGCCTTCCATCTCCAGCAGCCTTGGTGAGCAGGCTCCGCAGTTGCCATAGCAACCCTGCAGCTGCCTCCCAATCTGGAACCTTCCCCAGGGCTGGAATTGGCCGCCTTAAAGGCTGCCGCCCAGCCTGACTTTTGCTTCAGCCCTGCGTGGTGAGGGGAGGGCGAGGGGGCGAGCCGGTGCGCCAGCAGGTCCCGCCCCAAACCTCACTAGGGCCCGGGCAGCCCAGCCAGGCCCGAGACGGAAATCGTGTTCGGGGCTCCCCCAGCCGCCCTCATCCCTTGGTGGCCGCACCCTCGTCCACATGCTGGCGAGGGGGATGGTGGCGTGTGCGGGAAGGACCTGGAACTGGGAGGTGGGAGACCTGGGTTCTGAGCTGATTTCTGTGTCATTCCCCATCTCCGTGCCTCAGTTTCCTCACCGACGAAATAAGATACTTCCCTACTGTGTACCTGTGTCTCAGTCAGTCCTCAGAGCTATCTTATGAAATACAGTTATTATCCCACTTCACAGATGTGGGAACTGAGGCCTCAGGAGGTGCAACGTTATACTCAAGGTCACACGGCCACCGGCGACAGAGCCGGAGCCGGAGGGAGAAAGGGTCAGAAAGTTTCTTCCTGGGTGTCAGGGAGGAGCGGCCTACTCTGGCGTCCTGGCCGGGGGCATTCACATTTCGATGTTCAACAACAAACAGTGGGTCCCGAGTGCACACGGGGCTCTGGCCACGATCCGTCACTTCATGCCGTGGGACCCGGCATCCACCCTTCAACCTGTGGATCCAGCCAAAATGCTGGTGGCATGGGCCGCCAAGGGAGGGGGAGCCCGCAACGCCCAGGAAAGCCGGCCCCACGGAGGGACGAGGGGACTGGGGAGCTCGGTCTGGACCAGCAAGCCAGAGACGCAGCCTGGCCCGGCCCAGCCGCTGGCCTCCAGCCCGCCTCGGCCTCAGCGCGGTGCAGCCACCGTGCCACGGGAGGGCCCGCGCCGGCTTCCGTGCGCAGGTAACGCCCTCAGACTGACATAGCTCCCCTGCCATTTTGCTCCTCAGGCTTGGAGGAACCTGAAGCCGAAGGGGCCCTGCCTCCGGACAGCGGGGGTCCCAGTCCCGTCGAGCTTTCCACCCACCCGGGAAGCCCGGGACCCGACGGGGAGCCGCAGCTGGACAGAGCCTCGGAATACAGTCAGTGCCCTCCTTTTCTGAGAGCCCTGGGAAAACTCCCGTCCGGTCTCCAAGTGCAGAAGAGAAACTGAGCCAGAGAGAGGCAGTGACCCGTTCGGAGCCCCCTCTGAGTCCAGCACGCTGGCCCAGAGTCAGGCCCGAGCCAGGCTGCCTGTCACACATGCTGTCCCAGCCCCAGTGAATGTCAGCACTGGCCTCCGTGGGGCAGCGTGCGGCGGGAGGAGCAAACATGCTGGTCCACGGCAAGGGCCGGTGTGACCTTTAGGGCCCGGGCCTGAATCTGGGCTTCAAGCCCTTCTAGCCGTGTGAACGTGGGCAAGTTACTTCATCTCTGGTCTCAGTTTCCTCATCTGCAATATGGGGATAATAATGGTACCCACTTCCTAGAATGGTTGGTGGCTCTAAATGCCTCTACAGCGTTTAGAGCAGGACCTGTTAGCAGTTAATACATGTTAGCTGACACTTGTCATTATTCCTGTTGTTAGGGGGCCCAGCTTGTGGACAGAGCCTCAGGGGAAGCACAGAGGGTAGGAAGACGGGTGGGGGCCCAGGGAGAGAGCTCAACACATGGTAGCTGCCATCACTATTATTATTGTACCATAGACGGAGCCAGGTCTAGAACACGTAATCTTGTCAGTTCTTCATGTCTGAAAATTCTTTTATCGGTCTGTGCTTCCCTGCCCCTATTCTGCCCCGTTTGCTTTTTGTGGACAATGTGCCTTGAAGGGGAGAGGGAAGGGCCGGCTCTACCTGAAGCGGGGAGGGTGCAGCGGGAGGGCCCTGTGGGGACCTCGGGTCTGTGTGTGGGCCCTGGTGGGTGAACGGACAAGTGAATGTTGTCCCAGAAACCAGCTCTGCCCACGGGACACCCTGACAGCGCCTGGGCACCCTCGAGCGGCGGGGTGTGTAGCCCTGGTCAGGGCCGCGAGAATCCCCCGGGAGCCGCCTTAGGAAATGCAGCCTGGCCCCGGGAGGGCTTTTCTGAGCACTGGAGTGTCAGCAAGCACTTTGATCTTTTTAGGAGAATTCATCCAGAAGATCATTGCCCTGCTCCAGGATGCAGAGGAGCAGCCGGGAGAGAAGGTGAGGAGGCTGTTGCCGTGGAACCTTGACCTCACTGTGGAGCCCCCAACCCTCCTGGCAGGATAACTTCCCGCCCCTCCCCCGATTCTGCGTCCTGCCCAAGCCGCCCGGGCCTCGTCCTCCCTGGAGCCGCCCCACCAGCCCCAGACCACACTCCTCTCCCGGCCCAGCATCCATCGCTCCTCGCCCTGGGCCCACCCGACAGCCCACAGGGTCTCTCTGCCCAGCTCACCCGCAGTCCCCTCAAGGTCAGGAGCCCTGACTCGGTTTCTCTTATCTCTCACAGCAGCCTCAAGTCCAGGAGGTGGAAGCGGCTGTAGAAAACCCGGCCCCACCCTGCCGGCGGAAATCTCAGGAGAAAAAGTCCAGCCTCAAGAGAGGCTTTTCCCATAAAAAACACAGCTCCAGGAAGCCCAAGGGAGCAGGGGCTGCCAGCCCGGAGGCCCAGCGACACAAGAGGCCCAGCTACCTGCCCCTGTGTGTCGGCGGCCATCGGGCCTCCGTCTCCAGCAGCCTCGGTGTGCAGGATGTTGCCGTGGTAACGGAGGCTTCCTCCAGGGCGGGGTGGCCGCCGTGCGGCCTGGCCTGCTGCTTTCTGCTCTGGCAGGGAGGGGAGGCGTGGGGAGGTGGGGAGAGGCGAGGGGCCGGTTGCCAGCAGGACCCCCGTCACCGCGCGTGCCCCACCCCCCGCACCGCGCTCAGCCCCTCGGTACCAGCGGCGACCGTAGTCGACAGCCACGGATGAGCGCGCACAGCCGAGCGTCGACGTTAGCCGACAGCCGTGACATGACTTTTCTAATTTTTTATTTATCAAAATAAAATTGTGAACATTTAAAAATAACATAATGAAAATATACATGCACATGTTACCTATTCTGATTGGCATTACAAGGAAAGCTGCCTGTAAAGTAAAACACGCTTTCCGTGCTTCCAAGCTTTCCTCATCACGCAAGAGCAACACGGGCTCGTCAACGCACGGCACACACCGCCGTGCGGACTGTGAGCGCGGCTGTGGGCGAGGTGTCGTGGTCGGTGAGCGCCGCACCCAGGTGGCTAACAATTGTGGTGTGAGATCAGGGCGTCTGTGCGTCAGAATCACCTGGAACGCTGAGAGAGTCAGAGACGAGTGTGAGGAAGTAGGCTCTGGCCTGGGCCTGTTTGGGCTGCACCAAAGCTGAGGCCCTGCTCTACAGTGGCTGCCCTGACACTCGCCGGGTGCCTACTGCACGCCACTTTCACACTATTACCTCATTTAACCAGCTCACAACCAACCCCGTGAGGGCAGTCTTATCACTCCCATTTGACAGATAGGAAAAGTGAGGTTCAGACAGGCTAAGTGACTTGGAAAGCCTCAAAGTGTTAAAGGGGACGGGGGTTCCCTTGGTGGGGCCCATGGGCGTACTTGTGCCAGGCGGGGAGGAGGCAAGGAGTTGGCGGGGAGGCCAGGCCAGCACTGCGCCCGCCTCTGAGGCAGAGAGGGGCGGAGCTCACCGAGGAGCCTGGAAGCCAGGAGCCCCTTCGAGCTGTTGCGAGAACAGCAGCGCCTTCTCAGGGCCTGGCTTTGGCTTGTGCCTGTGGATTTGAGCCTGGCGAAACTCACCAACTCTTTCTACCCTCAGATCCAGAAGGTCTCGAGCTGCGGGAGCCCTCACCTGCCGACGGGGGGCCGGCTGGGACCTCAGAAGCACCTTCCCAGGCCAGAAGCCACAAGCCAGAAGGGGGACCTGAGCCGGACGCTGCATGCGAATCCAGTTAGTGCTGCCCTGCTCTCACTGGCCGCTGCCTGGGGCTTCTCTTCCGCAGGATTTCAAGGCTGAGCAGGGCATGGCTCTGGGGAGGGGCCCGGGAGGGGGCGGAGGCTTGGCCTTTAACCTGGGGCTGTCGGGGCAGAGTTGCAGTGGAGCCTCCTCCAGACAGAGGACGCCTGCCCGCCCGCACTCCGTGGGGTGTAGCTGGCGTGCCCCATCCGCTTGCTTGGCTATTCCGTGCAGATTTCCTGGCCTGCGCTGCGCCTGCACCGGTGGTGCGCTGGCAAACAGGCTGTCTGTGGGAACCCTCCTGTAGAGCATTTGCACGTTTCCACGGTATAAATATTTCTACCTGGGCCGATGTCAAGCTGCCGAGAGTCCGTAACAACTGGTTCACAGATTTCATGAATATCACGGTGAACTTGGCACATGCCAGTCTCAGCACATCACTGCCTCTAACCCAGGGCGGTGGGTGCGTGCCCGCCGGTCGGTAGCCCGGGCTTCCCTCCTCGCGTTCTCATTAGCGGCCTCTAGTCCAAACTCCCATTTCTGACCACGGGACCCCACGGTAGCCTGGGTAAGGGACGCTGGGGAGGCCTCGGTCCCCACCTGTCAAATGGAGCCGAGTGTGGTTACAGGACAGGCTCGCAAGCCTGAGTCCGTCTATTGCGAATAAGCAAATGCAAACAAAGCCCTCACGCCCCACCCTAGTTTAAGGGAAGATTTTTGTGTGTGTGTGGTCCTGTCATAACTAATCTGTGTGCTGAGATTTAGAGACAAAATACTGTCTTCAGGCCGGGCGCGGTGGCTCACGCCTGTAATCCTAGCACTCTGGGAGGCCGAGGCAGGCGGATTGCTCGAGGTCAGGAGTTCAAAACCAGCCTGAGTGAGACCCTGTTTCTACTATAAATAGAAAGAAATTAATTGGTCAACTAAAAATATATATACAGAAAATTAGCCGGGCATGGTGGCGCATGCCTGTAGTCCCAGCTACTCGGGAGGCTGAGGCAGGAGGATTGCTTGAGCCCAGGAGTTTGAGGTTGCTGTGAGCTAGGCTGACGCCATGACACTCACTCTAGCCTGGGCAACAAAGTGAGACTCTGTCTAAAAAAAAATAAAATACTGTCTTTATTGATGGGTGTGTTGTCGCGGCACTTTGTTGTCGGAAGGGGAGTAGGCGTCACCTGGTCACCATCACTCGGTCCCTCTCTATCTCCCTTAGAGGAGCTCGTCGTCCGGCAGCTGGTGGTGCTTCTCCAGGAGGTGGACGGCCAGCTGGGCCGGCAGGTGAGCCCCACAGCCCTCCCCGGCCTTACCGCCCCCGGCTGAGACCTGGGTTCAGCCCCCAGTCTGCGTCTCTGGGCAACTTTGGCCATGTCCCTTAACCTCTCTGAGCCTCGGTTTCCTCTTTTGCAAAAAGAGGGATAATTATCTACTTGACCAAGCTTAGTGCATATGTAGAAAATTCCAGACACCCAGCAGCTGGGGTAACTATTAGTCTAAAATAACGTAGTGCTCACGGCGGTCCCTCTGCCAGTCGGGACCTCCCCCTACCCAAATCCACCACTGAAGCTCAGCTCTTGCCCCTTCCCTGGAGGGCTCCTCTGCCCGCGCCTGGCCACCAGCCTGGCCGACCGTCCTTGGCTGTCTCCCTGCCGACTCTCGGTTTTGGCCACTCACCGCAGCATTTCTATGGTCTCCCATTCTTTCGAGCTTGTTGACTTTCCTCCCCTGCTAGGTAGCCTGTAACAAAAGGTTCCCGCCCTAGAAAAGCATAGTCTCCTTGGAGAGGCAAACGCAGATCACGTGTGAGGAGGGCAGGTTGTAGGTGAGTCACCAGGGTGGCTGAGGCTGTCGGCACCTCACCTCACCGCCGGAGTGCACACCGCCCCGCTCCCAACTGCCAGCACCCGCGTCCTTTTGTCTGTGGACCCAGAGCCACTTTCTGTCCGTGCGGTGGCAGAACTAACACCCCGCACTTCCCCCAGCGCGGCCTTCAAACAGCGGCGGCAGGGACTGGATGTACGGAGACCCCCTGAGCAGCCCGCTCTGTGCCGGCCGCCTGCCTGGGGGGTTACGCTCCACCTGCGGCACCGCCTGGGCTGCTGTGTCCCCGTGTCCCCGCTCCCAACCCTCCATCAGTCTCCCCGGCTCACCTAACAGATAAGCCAGCTGTGCCACGTCCTCGTGTCCGGGCCTGCCTCTGGGGAAAAACAACCCAACACATTTAGGTATTAAGAGGACAGAGCTTGCTGGGGGAATCCTAGAGTGGGAACCAAAGTTTCTCCAGCATCTGCTCTGCGCTGGAGGCTTCATGTCAACTATCTCGCTTAATTCCCCCCCAACAATCTGGGAGTGAAGGGATATTATTATTCCATTTTACAGATGACCAGAGGCTCAGAGAGGCCACACGGCTAGTAAATGACACTTAAGCACCCAGATTCTCCGCTGTCACAGAATTTAAATAACAAAGCAAGGTCATCTATGAAATAGGGGCGGCTGAGGGAGGAGAGCAGGCTCTGGGGCTGTTTGGTTCTGCATCACCGAGTGTAAAGACCCGCACTTTCTCCCTCCACGCCCCGACTTTGTCCTGCTGCTTTGAGCGGGGCCTTGCAGAACAGACTCTGGGGGGCTGGCCGGGGGCAGGTGGTAGGGGACTTAACCAGGGGTGCTCATCCCAGGACACGGAGGTGCCAGCCTGGCTGCAGCACTGACCACCTGCCTTCATTTCTGCTTCCAGATCAGACGACACCCCAGCTTTAAGAGATTTTTTTACGAGTTCTCAGACTCCTCCCTCAGCAAGCTGGTAGCCACCCTGCGCAGCCAGGTGGCCCACTCCTCTGAGCTGCACAGGAACCTCGCCAAGAGACCCTACCAGTTTGGTTTCGGCTTGACTAACAAGTTTTGCCACAAGAGCCACGCCTTGTCTATCCTCATGGGCTTCAGAGGCCACGACAGTTGCACCCAGTTCCCAGACAAGGAGTCCCAGCCGGTGAGAGAGGGCGGGAAGGGCAGTGGCGGTGTGGCACAAGGGACCATGGGCTCTCGGTCAGCCTCCAGGGCGATCTGCTTACTGTCCTCTCCCCTCCCCTGCTTGGTCCAGAGCTTTCCGAGTTCTGCTCAGATGCCGCCTCCTCACTGAGGCCTTCTGAGACAATTCTATACCACAATGATTTTTTTCTTTTCCCAAATCTCACTGACTTTACCCTATTATTACCATCATCTTTATCTGGCTCTGGTCTCCAATCCTGTGTACATTCTCATACGTTTTGAGATGGGTGTGATACATTGGGCCGGCCGCGATCTTAGCTCGCCTTGTTGTTATTTCATGGGTTCTGCTGCTCAGCGTCCCAGTTCTAGGCCGTCGTAAAATTTAACTACCAAAGTAAGGTGGTATATTCCATAAGGGGTGGCTGAGGTAGACCAGAAGGCTGCCAGGAGCCTGCCACTCCCCGCCTTGCCTGGCTGATGAACAGCCTCTCCCCTGCCAGCACCTCACTGCTCTGGTCCTTTCTGCTCTTCCTGATCATCCTCCTCCCCTAAGGCTTTGAGATATTCTATTTAGAGATGATGTTTGCCACGAATTTTTTAAAAATTCTGAGCTTTTATGTTTTCTGGTGCACTCTGATGAACAGATTTCCCCATCCTTCTCTGACTCACTTAAGAGTGGTAACCTGCTTCTAAACATGTGGCCCAGATCTACAGTGTGGGAGCTATTGCGTGTGGCTTTAAAGGAATGAAATGTCCTGTTTGCTGGGGTTGGACAAACGCGACCAGGACTCAGCATCTGAGGGGTGCCATGGGAAACCAGACCCTTTTTGCAGTGAATTTACTACCATTGTTTCCTCGAAAATAAGACAGGGTCTTATATTTATTTTTCTTCAAGAAGATGCCCTAGGGCTTATTTTCAGGGGATGTGTTATTTTCCCCTTGCAGCACGCACAGGATGGCCGGGACCTGACCTTGTTGGTGGGGCTGCCCGCACCTTTCCGGTCACCTCTGGGATAGGAGCTGTCAGATGGGGCAGATGAGAAGGGCTGCTCGTCTTCTTTACGGCTCTGGACGAAATGCATGGCTTGTGCAGACACGCTGCGTAGCCACGCCCATCACTAGGGCTTATTTTCGGGGTCGGGCTCCTATTGCGCAAATGCTTAGAAATCCTGCTAGGGCTTATTTTATGGGTAGGTCTTATTTGGGGGGAAACACAGTATCACCAAAGCACTTCTGTTTTCCTTTCCTGGAGTTACCTTTAGAAGCCTCTCCAGGCTTCTTTGAGAAGTCTCTCAAGAAAATGGCTCTATTTTGGGGCGGTTTTGCCTTGTCACTCGAATGCACTGCTCTGCCTTGGCTTGTTTTTCTGATGGGAGCTCCTCATGACCACAGACCTCTCTTTTTGCCTCCTCACTGTCTTTTCCCCAAGACTGGGGATGTTATGGATAATTTGCCCTCTGGGGTGCGTTAGGTAATAGCTTCCAGAGTGATCTGAGGTCTTTGTGAGAGGTACTATGGAAACAGTTGCCCTGACTCCACGTCTGGTTTTGCCGACCATTCATCCACGCATTGATTCACTCCGTCAGTAGATATCGACGGCCTCCGGTGCGCTCAGCTGTGCAAAGTGCAGTAAGGGCCTCTGCAACGCTCTGCTTCCAAAGACTTCATCTGTTACTAGAAAAGACAACTGTTTACTGATGACAAAATTAAGCAGCAATCAAATGCCATATGACTAGTAGCTAGGCCAAAAAAGCGAATTGGTCCTGGGAGGCCTCCAGGAGGTGGCAGGCACCGATTTTGACCTTTGAGGCGAGGAGGCTGTCTGGGGAGGAGGGATTGGGAGAGCGATGCCGGCAGGAGGTGCTGCAGGAACAGAGGTGGGGGGATAATGAGACCCACAAATAACGGGGCCGTGGCTAACACCTCTGTTCTTTTTCTCCTCCCAGAACGTCCCAAGTCCTGGAACTCAAAGTCCAGATTGAAAGCTGTGCCTCGTGCTAGATTTCCCTTGAACTGGCCGCACAATTGGCAGCTTTAGCCAGGAGACCCTGAAGATGCTCCCTGATGCCCCAATCCCATGCTTCACAAAGATGGCTGGAGACAAGAGCAGACAGCTACTCTGTCCACACGCCGTCGTCTGAGAAGGCACACAGCACTTTTCCACGGGGCGAGATGCGGAGGCCGTGGGAGGGGAACTCTTGCAGCAGACTGGAAGTCCCCCTGCCTCAAACCTCCTGCAAAGACCTTGACCACGTCCCCTCTCCTCTCTAGACCCTGGATTCTAGACTGTCATTCAGAAGGCTTACTGACATTTTCCCAGATATTTTAACTAAGTCCAGTTTTTAAGATAATTTTTAATTTAATCTCTAACCAGAACATCCACACACAAACAGATGTGCACCTATGGGCAACACATCATTTATTCAATTGGCCAACAGTGCTTAATGCTCACATGGATTTATAGATGCCTCCCAGGAACTCTGCAGGCCCCAGATGGGAAAGGCCACGGGGACTCCTGGTCTCTCAGAATCCTTCTAACTCTGTATCCTGTACGTCTATGACCAGAGAAATGAAACTGATACCTTTTACCTCTTATCTTACCTTTTATCTTGTAGTGTTTGCTGAGTAAGTGAGAAAATGGATGTGAATGGCCAGTCGCGGTGGCTCACGCCTGTAATCCTAGCACTTTGGGAGGCCGAGGCGGGCGGATTGCTCAAGGTCAGGAGTTCGAAACCAGCCTGAGCGAGACCCCGTCTCTACCAAAAATAGAAATAAATTAATTGACCAACTAAAAATATATATACAAAAAAATTAGCCGGCATGGTGGCGCATGCCTGTAGTCCCAGCTACTCGGGAGGCTGAGGCAGTAGGATCGCTGAGCCCCGGAGATTGAGGTTGCTGTGAGCTAGGCTGACGCCACGGCACTCACTCTAGCCTGGGCAACAAAAAAAAAAAAAAAAAAAAAAAAGAAAATGGATGTGAAGAATTTTGAAAATTACACAGTGCCACAGCCATGTATGTTATTATTTTTATTATAGCTACATCTGGATGGTTTTCAGGAAGTAGAGGATGGCTTCAAGCCGGACTGCCATGGATGGTTGCACAGATGTGTACTGCTCAAGAGCATCATACCCCAGGAGTTGCCAGTCACTTCCTAGGCATTGTAGATTTCTAGATTTATGATGACAATGTTCCAGCTGATGGCAGTAAAGTATCTTGAGAAAAGGGCTCTTTTTTGTATTTGCACAAAGGTGAGGTGTAAGGTGCTACAGGCTCTGCCTTCCACACAGCTGAACAATTTCAGCAGTGTGACTCAGGCGGGCAATTTGCCACATGTCCGTATCTACAAGCAGGCCCAGCAAGACTGCAAACAGATGTCCAGCTCCCTTGGACTTTGCCTGGAACATGCGGTCATAAGGGAGAGGAGTCACAACCAGGATGGCAAACTAAATCGTGTTACCCACGGTGGACTCGGTGTCACCGTGTCGACCCTGTGGTAGGCGCCGAGGGGTGGGGCTGGGGAGGAGGAGAAGCTGAGGGTTGAGAGGCCACTTAGATGGGACTGGCCTCAAACGTGAGACCAAGTTTTGGGAAGCTCAACTGAGCACATGCTGAAAGTCATTTAGGTTTCATTGCTGCTGCTGAGGAGCTGGGGAGAGGTGAGTTATTTATGGGTTTATTTAGGCAGTGTTCAGGAACACAGCACCAAAATGTGAAGAATTGAAATAAGTGTGGAAATGAAGGTCAGGAACCTTTTGTACACAGTTTTCTTATTTGGAATGATGTTCTTTAAGCCGTGTGAATATTTGATGCTGGCATCTGACTCTCATTTTTTGTACTGTATTATTTGAGCAAATAAAGAAATTGACTTGCACAGAGCTGTGATCTGGGTTATTCACCACGGAGACAAGACGGATATCCACCTGACACGTCTGGAGTCTGGTGCCTGTGGGGGTCAGCCTCCTGTCCCTGTCTGGGGCTCTTGGATCCTCTCCAGGACGGGACACCTGGAGCTGGGACCCAGAGAGTGCCACCTCGCTGAGGCAGTGAGCAAAAGTGTCCTGGGCTGGGTATCAGGAGACCTGGGTTTTAGTCCAGCTGCCCCCAGGCTAGGTGACCTTGGGGACAAGATACTCTCCAGAACTGACATTCTACAACTCTGCGACTCTCCAGGTGACAGTTCATTATACGTCTGGGAAAATCTGGACCAGTCCTGATTCTGCATCATCTCTTATTAGTCCCTAAACTCTGGTGCCCAAATTCTGTCACTTAGAACCAGGGTAAAATTTGTCAGAATGCAGCATGGGGTTTTGGGTCCACGAAATGTGTTTTCCATGGAAAGATATCAAAGGCATCCTTCCCCTCTCTCGGATAACACTCGAATGCCAGCCCCCAGCCTGGCAGGCTCACGGTTCTGGCCTGAGGAGAGCAGAAGGCGCATTACCATCCTCTACAGACAAGGAAACCCAGGCTCAGAGTAGGGAAGTGCCTTTCTCAAGGTCACACAGCCAGCTGCGGAGAGAACCAGGCCGGGACCGGGCTCTGTGAACTCCTGTTTCAGCGCCCTCTCCCTTATTGTCTAATCCAGCGGTCCCCAACCTTTTTGGCACCAGGGACTGTTTTCATGTGAGATAATTTTTCATGGACTGGGGAGGAAGGGGGTGGTTTTGGGATGATTCAAGCGCATTACATATTATTGTGTACTTCCTTTCTATTATTATTACATTGTAACATTATACAACTCGCCATAGGTTGGGGACCCCTGGCCTAATCCATGAGTCCATTTATTCAACCAATATTTATTGAGCACTTACTGTGTACCAGGCGGGATGCTAACTATGGAATACACAAATGCAAAAGACACGCCCTGCCCTCAGGACACTCACGACCCCACTGGCATGGGGCTTTTGCCCCAGTGGGAATGTGGGGGTGGGGCACCGAGTCAGGTGCTGTGTAAGGGTGGCCCCTCAACTCCCACCAGATACTTTCATGAGAACACTGAGGTGCATGGAGATCCTGGGGCTGTGTCAGGCCTTTCAAAGGTGGGCAAGTGACATCAGGACAGGACATAATTAACCTAAATTTCCTCCCTCTGAGAAGTCAGGAGCCAAAGCGGGTGAGTCAGAGCTACTGGGGGCAGGACCGGTTGAGCCGGGGGCTGGCCAGGTGACAGGGAGGCAGCACAGCACCCTGGCCTCGCCCATGGCACTCGGAGATCTCCCGGTTTCAAAGCACAGCGGCCGGCCGGGGCGTTCAAACAGATCCATTAATGCTGATTAAAAAGAGAGAGAGAGAAGGGAGAAAGGCACTAATTTAGGGTTGCCAGATTTAGCAAATGAAAATACAGGAGACCCAGTTAATTTTGAATTTCAGATAAACAATAAATAATTGCAACATTGGCAGCATGCTTCTACTAAATAATTATTCATTGTTTATCTGAAATTCAAATTTAACAAGATGTCCTGCATTTTATCTGGCAACTCTGAAGCTAATGTAAGAACAATACTTTCATCAATAATTACCTCAAAATGAGAAAAAGAGAACGTAGCTGAAGTGAGGGAAAATATGCAAGGGGATTTACTGATAATGTAGCAGAATTGACATTTAGAGCGTCTGGGCTCTAAATACAGGCTCTGAGTTAAAGCAGTAATTATTATTAAGCCGGAGTCTGCGTTGGGTGCCAGGAAGTCAGCAAGAGACAAGCCCTCCTCCCCCTGGTCCGTGCCTCAGGCCTCCGCGAACACGGAGACCAGTCCTGGGCGAGAGGCCCGCGGCCAGCTGGGCCCTCCGTCAGCTCTTTGCCACCACACAAACCTCCAGCGCCTTCCCTGCCGAGCCTGGTAGGGGCCGCAGCAGGCGAAGGATGCCAGTCGCCCGGGGCTTTGCTCCTTCTGAGGCCCTGCAAAGGGACGTTCTGTCCCCGACCGCCCTGTTGGACGCAGGCTCGCGGGCTCCGCAGGGCTGCTGCTGCAACGGCCCGGCCGGGGGCGGACTTGCACCCGCCTCCTGGGCTCCCGAGCCCAGCGTTACGGCACCCTCCACCCATCCGCTCCGCTCCGGCTCTGCATCCAGGGTTTGGTTCGCCAGTGTGCCTGAGCCCCGTGGGCAGCCCGGGCTTCCTCGCTGGGCCTGGCTCAGCCAGTGGGCTGGGGTGGGAGTTTGCCTGCTCCTTGGGAAGGGTGGGGGGTGACAGATTTTTCTAGACAGGCTGGAAAATGTGAGGCTGAAGGAATCTTTCTCACGGAAGGTTTTCACGGAGCTGCAAGCAGCAGAGTCTGCCCTCACTTGTGTTGGTGAAAAGAAGAGACATTTGGCCCCCATTTCCTCTACGACCCTCTATAGCCGCACCAGGACTCGGAAGCAGGGCGGCCTGTCCCAGCGCACATGCAATGCGCATGCGGTTAACAGCCGTCCGCTGTCCCCGCTGCCAGACGGGCTCCATCAGGGAGTCCAGTGACCAGCTGAGGGGAGGCCAGTGCTTCCAAGTCAACCGTTAGTACGCTGGGAGAGCCAAACACAACACACGGCTGGGCGGTGGCTCACGCCTGTAATCCCAGCACTCTGGGAGGCCAAGGTGGGAGGATCGCTTGAGTCCGGGAGTTTGAGACCAGCCTGAGCAAGATCGAGACCCCATCTCTACTAAAAATAGAAAAAATTAGCCGGGCATGGTGGTGCATGCCTGTAGTCCCAGCTACTCGGGAGGCTGAGGCAGGAGGACCGCTTGAGCCCAGGAGTTTGAGGTTGCTGTGAGCTAGGCTGAGCCACGGCACTCTAGCCCGGGCGACAGAGTGAGACTCTTTTTCAAAAACAACAAGAACAACGACAACAAAAACAAAACAGAAGTAGAAGAGCTTGGTCTCCCGGCACCACAGGAAACAGGGAAACTGTATCCTTGGCTCCGTCCTGCTGGGCCCCCAAGAGTTGCGCCCTGTGGGCTGGATCCGGGGCAGACAAGGCAGGATCTGGCCCACCTGCAAGAAGCAAACTCAGGCCGAGGCTGGGAGCAAGGTTCATCATCACCGGTCAGCGTTGACGTCCTTCAGTCTGTCCAGAGCAGGGCGGTGGAAGGGTGGGAAGGATCGCAGGGAAGTGGAGGCCATTTGTAAAGGAGACCTTCTGCACCAGCAGGACTGGCAGTGGGTGTCGCCCCGGCCCCCAAAAGGCCTGGGGTCGGGGAGGGTGTCTGAGAGTAGTGGGGAGCAGGCTCAGCCTTGGGGTGCTCAGCTTCTCTCCCGGTCCAGCTCAGGTTTCCCCACGCGGCTCACAGCTTCCTAGGAAAAGGACATAGATTCATCATTTCCGAGTCCCTACCTAGGACTTCCCTCACCTTAGTTCCACTGAGGACAGCCCTTACAGCTTCGCACGCCTTGGGAAGCCCTGAGCAGGTCGCCAGGCCGTCTTTTCAGCCAGACGATGCGTGGAAATTGGAAATCTCCATTCATACCAAAGCCGGGGATGGGGTTCGCTTTATGTGCAAGCAAACGGAACTCTCCACTGGGGGTGATCCGAGGGGGTTGGAAACATCAGTTTATAAAGGGTCAACTGATACTTGGTTTCTTAGGAAGGGTTGGGGTGGAGTGGTCTCCAGATTGCCGAGTATGGTGGGGCAGACTGTACTCTACACGTGGGTGTGGTGCCATTAAAAGGGGTCAGGCGATTTGTAGACTGTGTGTCTTCACGTGGTATTTGCACAGTGTTCTGGCAGTTGGAAGTCTAGTGCTCGTTCTAACAAAATCAGTATCCTATGACAATTTCCAGCTGCTGACAGTCAAGTTCCCCAGGAAGGGGTGCAATTTTTTAATGTACAAGGTGCTGCGTGGGCCAGTGTAGACCCTGGTTATGCCCAGGAAGGGAAAGGCGGGAGAAGAAATGGAGCTGAATCGACGATGCCCAGGGTCACCAGGGCACCCGGGACAGGACGGGCAGCGTCCGCCCTGCAGAGACATCCCGGGGAGTTGCACACCTCAGGGCAGTTGTACGCCTGGATCCTGCTGGGGTGAGGCCTGTAGGTGACCCAAACCGTCTCGGGAGTGGAGAACAGAGGGAAGTCGAGTGGGCGGGGAGCAAACCTGGTGGGAGAAGATGAGGACGCACTTGAGAAGAGCAAGGAGACAAAAGGGGCAATCAGAGCCTGGTTCCAGGCCCGGCCTCCACCTGCGGGGTGGCCCTGGCATGCCACTCGCCCTCTTTGGGAAATTGGAGGAAGACACCTGCAGAGCCTCCCTCAGAAATGCTAGATAAGGACTTGGACATTCTTGGATAATTTTCAAATCTCCATAATTTTCAGATCTGTCATCCGGTCGCTTAAGCCCTGCGATGACTCCCCAGCACCACACGGGCAGTCCCAGCTCGTGAGCAGGACACCCAGCCCAGCCGGCTGCCTTCTGCCACGCCTCCAAGTTCACCTCCAGGCCTCTCCTTGCCTCCATCCTCGCAACTGCAGTAACTGCCTGCGTAGACTGCTGCTTCCTGGTTCTGGGCCGTCATCCCGCGTGCCTGGAATACCCTCCCGACCCCCACCCCCAGTCTGAATAACTTCTGCTTCTCCTCCTCCCCGCCTCCAGGAAGCCCCCTGAGACCCTCCAGCTAACAGGAATTGGCTGCCTCTCCTCTGTGCTTCTATCCTGTCCTCAGCCAGTGGTTCTCGGACTCCTGCGTCATCAGTCACCTGGTGAGCTATGTGAAATGCAGGCTGCCGCCCGGCCCAAGCTTCCGATTCAGTAGGTCTGGCGTGGGCCCAAGAATCAGCATTCCTAACAAGCTCCCAGGTGACGCTGCTGCGGCCGGTCCTGCCGTCACATGGAGAGGACCGCTGGCCCAGGCAGATCCCTGTAACCCATCTGCGTATGTGCCCTTCTCCTGCTAACACAGCAAACTAAGGGCTGGTGTGTCCCCAGTGCCCGTCGAAGGACAGGGACTGAGTGAAAGCTGGATAAGTAAATACAAGCTAATGAATACAAGCATGCTACGGAAAAAAAAACTAGAAAGATAAAGTATCATATTTTCAGGAAGTTTAAAGTCAACTTTCGACCTGAACAAAAGACATAACTGGATATCTACCATCAATGTCAAGCTCGATGTTAGGTTTGGTGCCGTAGGTGTCACCTAACCTAATCCAGAACGCAGCAAGGCCCTGGAATACTTTTTGCACGTGAGGCTCTGCTGTGTGGCTTTGTTGGTGCCTTCCCGTCTCTGAGCCTGCCTCACAGGCTGCACAGATAACTAGATGTGAAACGCAGTGCTGGCACCTGATTCTAGTTGAAAAACTCTTTTTGAATCCAAATCCTATCAGAAATACATTGCCTGACCTACCAGACTCGAAAGCACGCCAAAAATTCAGTGGTTAAAACATTGTGCCACTACAAGGGAGGGAGGGCATTGAAAAAATAGGCTTAGGGAGCAATAACAAGTCAGTATATAATACAGGTGATATCTAAAATCAGCAGAGAAAGGATGGATTATTTAATAAATTGGATTGGGAAGACTAGCCGGCTATTTTAGAGAAAGTTTAAGCATTTTTTTTTCACCAATCGGTTTGAAATAAATAGATTGAGGCAGGCACACAGTCTCTTATCTGCCTTTGGCAGGGCAGATGTATTTTGGAATTCAGAATTATTTCAGATTTTAGAAAGATAATACTAGTGCATTTGCCCCATGTTTTGTAACTCCCCCAGTGGGGTCTGGGGGGCACCCCACAGTAAAACACATTACCATTTCTGCAGGAAAGTACATGAAAATTCATACTAAATGGGATAAATAATGATCATAAATAAACTCGTGTCTGTATAGGTGAGGGTTTTGCATCAAAAGAGTGGCCATAAATTGTTGTGTGTTCAGAGCTTCTTCAGTCTCAGAATTGCAGACAAGGGATGACAGGCCTGTGACTTGGTGAGCATGTGGTGGGGACAGCCACCTCCAGTTCGTTTGCTGGTGCAAGAGTTGCCACATTAGACATTATAATCCCCTTGAGGACAATTTGGCAACATGCATCAAAACTTTTCTCTCACATACCTTGTGACCCAGAAATCGCAGTTCTAGAAATGTATGCCAAGGGACCACTGGCTGTGTGTGCAAGGGTGTGTTTATGGGGATATTTATTTATTTATTTCAATGTAGTGACGAGGTCTCGCGATGTTGCCCCGGCTGGAGGGCAGTGGCTATTCACAGACAGGATAATTATGGATTGTAGCCTTGAATTCCTGGCCCCAAGTGATCCTCCTGCCTTAACCTCTAGAGTGGCTGGGACTACAGACGCATGGCGCCATGCCCAGCAATGGGATATTTGTCATAGCAATGTTGATAATAGCAAAAAATTGGAAGCAACCTAAATGTCCATGAGGAGAAGAAAGATGAAATCAACAACGTTAATAGTATATCCACAGCAATGGAATATTATGGATCCATTATAACTTGATACATCTATATTTGCCATGGAAATAAGTTATGATATACTATTTAATTAAAAAGCAGGCTACTAGAACTTGGCATCCAATGGGTAAAAAAATAAAGAAAGAAAAGAAAGTATAGAAATTTGAAGTAAAAATATTTTTTAAAAAATAAAGAAGAAATTAAAAAAAAGTAAAAAAATAAATAAAAAGCAGGCTACAAAACAGTATGTAGTGTATGATACCATTTTCATTTAAAAAGTTTTTAAAACAGCTGTCTGTATGTTTGAAAAATATGGATGGGTATTTGCCAAAATATTAATATCTGGGTGTTGGGGTTTCTGGCAATTTTAAGATTATTTTTGTAGTGAGCACATGTTGGTTTTAAATCCAGAAAAAGCAATAAAATTGCTCAACCTATTTAAAGTGCAGGTATAAAACAAAAATATACGGATAACGTCTCTTTCAAGTGATACTTATACTGGGCTAATGTAGGAAGTACCCTGTCCACAATCACAAGCAGGTGACTTGTTTGTGTCCTTCCTCCATGCATTCAAAGACCCTCTCTCTGCTCCTTTCTCTCCGTGCCCCAGGCTTGCGAGCTTCCCCAGAATCCCCAGATGTCCCACACAGGCCTGGACACTAGTCTTTGTTACCTAGAATTCCATGGTCTGCTTGCACATTCACTTCCCGTTTAAGCCCCAAATAGCCATGGCATGAAGGCAGGGTAGATGCCACAGAGAGAAACTGAGACTCCCACTAAGGCATTTGCCCGCATGGAGAAACTAGGGCTCACCCTGTGGCTTCTGACTCCTGCTCCAGTGCTCCTACCACCCTGGGAGACTGTGTCACTTAGTGATGACATTAAGCACTGGTGACAGACAGCCTGGATTAGGATCCTAGCTCTGCCACCTACTAACTGTGTAACTCTGGGCATGTTTCTTAACCTCTCTGTGCCACAGTGCTGGGAAGATAACAAGCACTATGTAAGTTTTAGCTGTTATTATTACATTCACATTTGCATGGGGGAAATTCCACAGAAACTCAAAGGAGGGGCTCTCTCATGGTGGAAATTTGGGGAGTCTGACAGATTTGGTAGCAATTAGGAGAATTTGGGGCAGGTGGGCCTCCTCCTTTCCCACGTGTAGCCTGGGAGTAGTCTCTTAACTTCTCGATCCCTCTCTCTACTTTGAGAGCAGTGACACAGTGCAGAGTCAGGTGGCCACTGAGCTTTCACTGCAGGGGAGACCAGGCTAGCAGAGGAACGCTGGCCGATACGTCCAGCCATGCTCCCGGACAAGAGCAAGTCTGGCATGGCTACTGGTCCTGGCATGAAAGGGGCCTGGAGCAGACCTGCCCTCAACCTGCAGCCTGAGCGGAGCAATCCCAGCCGACTCACAAACTCATGAAAGGGAGAAATAGATGTTTGCTGTTGCAACCTGCTGGGATTTGGCGGGTTGTTTGTTATGCAGTATTATTACAGTAGCAGTAACTGACTAATACAACCTGCATCAAAGTATGAGTTTGAAACTCTGATTTAAAAACCTCACTGCTTCATCTATGGAACATCTAGCCTTTAGGTTTTATTCTAGCCTCTCTCCTCTTGTTGGCAGGGATATCAGCTGGGGACCGGGATTTTGCACAGGACCAGCCCCTGGATTTGGCAGTGTTCTTGTGATTGCAGTTTGGGAGGAAATGAGCAGATTTCCCCTCTTTCTGGGTTACTCCCCCTTCTCTGTCCCTAATATCTTTCAGATTGTCCTTTCTACCCCTTACCCTGGCCTTTCAAGTGCAAAGCCTAGACTTGTTCAAGATCATCAATTGGTGATCCAGGCAGTCTTCTCACCTGTTCTATAAAGGAACAGGCAGACGGCCACCTGCCTGGTGCAAGGGGTGTGACCCACTGGCAACAGGGCTTCCCATATGCTGTCCTATTTGTCTCCCTCACAGCCTGCTTCTTTGCTTCTTTTTTTTTCTGAGACAGAGTCTCACTTTGTTGCCCAGGCTAGAGTGAGTGCCGTGGCATCAGCCTAGCTCACAGCAACCTCAAACTCCTGGGCTCAAGCAATCCTCCTGCCTCAGCCTCCCAAATAGCTGGGACTATAGGCATGTGCCACCATGCCCGGCTAATTTTTTCTATATATATTTTTAGATGGCCAATTAATTTCTTTCTATTTATAGTAGAGACGGGGTCTCGTTCTTGCTCAGGCTGGTTTCGAACTCCTGACATTGAGCAATCCTTCCGCCTCGGCCTCCCAGAGTGCTAGGATTATAGGCGTGAGCCACCGCGCCCGGCCACAGCCTGCTTCTTGATAAAGCACCTTGATCCCTAGCTGGCTCATCAGTGGAGGTGGCTCTGGCTGCACTGCAGTTCCCACTGCCCCGCTGCAGTGGGAAGAGAACTGGCCCAGGGATCAGGGGACCCGAGTCTGGCCTGGCTCCCAGATAGCACACTCCTAGCCCCACGGAGGCTCCCCGCACCTGCCGTGGGCTGCCTAGCTTCCCGAGGATGAACTTGACCCTGAGCTCCTAGAGACAGAGACAGGGACACTCAAAGGTCAAGGGAAGTCCTGGGGCTGGAGACCAAGGAACAGGGTGAGAATAATCCCAGTCTGGGATCCTAATCCCATGACCTCAGGGACTCCCAACTGCCCACCGGGTCCTGCACCCTCCCTGCCACCTTCAATCCAGAAAGGGTCGCGTGGGTTTGCCCCACTTCGGGCTGCAGCTCCAGGAAGCTCCTGCCCGCCATATGCTTCCCCCACCATGTACACACTTGCCCAGATTCAGTGCGGGCCTGCGGCCACCAGGCTCAGCCTCTGACCCTCACGTAGCTGATAAATCCCAGTGCCTACCAGGAACCCTCCCTGGGGACAAGAGCAACCAGGAAGGATGTTGCTTAGAACGATTAGAGATTTCTCTGACCAACAAAGCCTGAAGCAAACTAAAAAGCAGTGTGGGCCTGTTCCATTCAGAGAACGCTTTCGTAACCCAGTGAAGTAACTGTGGATGGCACCAGCGTGGTTTGTGTTTGACCTGGCATTTGAATATACAGATGCATGTGCCTTTAATGAAAATATTATGATTCAGTAAAAAAATAAAACTTGGGGCTGGGTGTGGTGGTGCATGCCTGTAAGACCCAGCACTTTGGGAGGCCGACATGGGAGGATCGCCTGAGCGCAGGAGTTCGAGGCTGCAGTGAGCTACGATTGTGCCACTGCACTCCAGCCTGGGTGACAGAGCGAGACCCTGTCTCAAAAAAGTAAAAAAATTCAAAATAAATAAATAAATAAGACTTGGTTTAGATAGGGTTCAAAGTCCAGCAAATTAGTAGGTTTTATTCTTACCTTTTGTCTAAAGTAAAGATTTGGGGTCAACTGTCGAAAGTTGGAGATAATAATAGTACTAATAATAATGATAATTGGAGATGATAAAGTTGGAGTTCAATTCATTTTTGATATTGCCAGAGCTCAGGAGAGTGTTTGGCACTTAGCAGGTGCTCCATACATGTTGACTGACTAGATCAATGGCAACGTAGTACATTCCATAAGCCATAAGAAGCAGGCCGGCGTGGATTAGGCTCTTAGCTGCACGTCGCACCAGCTGGGAGGTGTACGTGTGGAGGGTCACGGAGGCACAGACACGTCTAGCTTGGCTTTTAATAGAGATGATTCAGAAGCCGAGCAGGAGCTAGTCAGCCTCTGGGAGTCGCGTAACCACAATACCTGCTTACTCCCGAGCGCGGTTTCACGGCCCGCGCCCTGGGAGGCACTGTGCACAGCCGGCCGCGTTAGACTCTCACCGTATGAGCTGGCCTCATCTCCACTTTATAGAGCAGGAAACGGAGGCTCAGAGGGACCAAGTGTCCCAACCATGATCACTAAGCGAGACTGGCAGAGCAGGGACATTGTGTCGGGCGTGCCCGACTCCAAAGCCCAAGCTCCCATCCCCCTCTGCTCCCTGCAATCTCCTGGCAGATGGTTCCCGAAACCGCTCCTCCCTGTGGGATTTAAGAGACATTAGTCATGCTCACGGCACTGTGCTGCTTGGCTTCTTGGATCTCAGAGGTCTTGGGAAGCCTTTTTTGGTGCCACTTGTCTTTTGCTTGTTCTTCCTGAAGACCTTATTCACCCAGTTTGAGTCTTCAGCAGGGCTCTCCCTGGGCAAAGAGAAGAACATGGTTTGTTATCGGCCCGTCCTGGGTGCTCCAATACCAGGCCCTGAAACTCTGAGCATCACAATCCCCCTGCAAACATTTTTTTTTTTTATAATCAATGAATATTTACCTAAGTATTATGACATCATACCAACTAGTCAACTGAAACTCAAGCTTTTATACAGTTATATGTAAATGCAAAGAAGTCTAAATCATGTGAACAAAATGCATAGTTTATGCCTAAGCTCTAAGTTATTAAATTTATATAAACTCTTTCAAAAAGTTTTATAGATAAAATTATACTTAATGCTGGAAGCAGGTAAATTTTAATATGTTTGACTTGCAAAGTGCAAACATCAAAAGTAAGAATGCCTCAGGCCCTGCCCTCCAGAGACACCACGCCAATGCCAGAGCAGCCCGAGGGCAGGGCGGGGCGAGGTTCTGGGTGGGGTTGGGATGAGAAAACCCTTGACCTGCCTCACATCTGCAGGCCTTCCTCTGGCTGATCCAACCTGCCTACAGCCAGCAGGGGGGCCTGGGTAATGCAGCCCCCAAATAAAGACCTTCAGGCCCTCTAGGACTTATTGCAAAGGTGCACAACCCAGACAGTCGATATGCATTATAAAAAAAATTTTCTGGGGACAATCTACAACATAAAACTATTAGGTCCTTATCATGCTGATAGAAAATAATTTGGACCAAGGGGGGCTTTTGATAGAGTCCCTCCATTGATACCATCAGGGGCTACCTAAGGCTGGGGTGTAGGATGCCTGCTAGCCCTCTTGAACCGTGGCATCACTAGACAGGAAAATATGAAGGGGGGGCAGATGCACATTTCCCCCCTGCACTCAAAGGAGTGTCCCAGTGTGCACAGGAGGGAGCTGCAGAGAGCGGCACTGTCAACATGGACAGGCTGGTTCATTCCCGACACATCCGACACTTCGCCCTCACTGTGCAAGACGAAGGGGGTGGTTTGTGAGATGTCAAGGGGTGTGCCGTACTAGGAAAGGACCCCAGGGTTCCTGGGGCAGCTAAAGAGATGAAAAATATCCCTTAGCCCGGCCCCTTCCCCCGGCCCCTTCCCCCGCCCAAAGGAAGGAACATGTTTCCAGCGAAGGAGAAACTCACACGAAAGGCGTGCTGACGGCTTCCCGCGTGTCACCCGGAGGCGGGGCGCTATTGTGGCTTGCAGGGGCCGGGGGAGCTAGAGCCCGAAGTGAAACACAGGAGCCACGAGTGAAATGAGGGCATACTAAGTCATTTTGAAACAATAATAGTTAGTAAGCTAGCATGTTCAAAACCAGTAAAGAGCTCTCCTGCTCTCAGATTCTCACATTTCCAGCCACCATCATGCGCCTGGGTTTGACTAAGGCGCAGGCCAGAGCGTCTGGGAAGGCTGACGCTGACCCTGGGTGCCCAGTTAGAGACGACAGCCTCACAGAGGGCAGCCTGCTAGGGCATGTTGTCGGGAAGATCCCCTACAGGGAGCTGAACGTCCCACCACACGTTTATGTCATGCTTTCTTTCTCTCTTGGAATAAAGAATATTAATAGTTTTATGACCATTGTTCTTAACTAAGCTCTTTGCATGTTTTCAATGTGTATGGGGATACATGATATATGAATGTTAATATGTAATGATGTGATGTATGTAAATAAAGTAATATAAAATGTATTTAGATTTTCCCACCTGGAATTCTTTTGTTAGGAACCTGCTGGATGTCCCTAGTTCTCCCAAATCTATTTGTAGTGAGGCCTGTCTCTTTGCTTGTGGATTTTCCTAGGGCTTTTTACACTCCTCCTGTCCCCCACTAAGTCTGGGCAGGCTCCACTCTGCCCAGCTCCCACAGATGGATGTCGCAGTCGAGGCTCAGCTGTGTCCTATGACAGGGTTTCCCAGCCTTAGTGTGTACTACTGATATAAAGAGTTGGATAATTCTTCACGGTGGGGGCTGTCCTGTGCCTTGTAGGATATTTAGCAGCATCCCTGGCCTCTATCCACTAGGTGACAACCAAAAATGTCTACAGGTATTGCTAAATGTCTCCTGGGGAGGGGTGCAAAAGCACTCCCAGTTGAGAACCTCTGGGCTCTACGCACCCGCTGCCCATCCCTGGTGTGAGGAGTGCCAACTCAGGTCCAGGATTGCCCAGGCACCTGAAGACGCCCACCTTTATGCACAGGAGTAAATAATATAAAACAAATGCATTGCATTCAACAGGAAATAAGAAAGCATGTAAAATATTTTGACCAATTTTCTGACTCTTAATATCCTGATATTTTTGTCTCACGTAATTAAAAGAATCAAAGTAAATCAATTCCAGAGGAAGGGAGTCACCCCTGATTGGGGGCAGACCCCAAGAAGGAGACCTTGCTGTGATGTCTATCATAATAACGATGGAAGTTTGGCTGATGGACTGTGAGGACTCCACACCCTGGCTTCAGTCCATCGTTTGGGTCCCTCTTCTCTGTCCCCACCCAGACCACCCATGGTGGTCACACGCATGTCCTCTTCATCCCGAATGTACCTTGCACTTTCCTACCCTGCACCTGAGCCTCGGGAAGAAACAAAATCGAGAATGCTCTTTATACTCTGTCCCATCCAATCCCACAAACTACGATTGTCCAAATCCTGCCCATTTTAACTCACCTGTCACCTCTAAGAAGGCTTTCATATTCCCCCAGAGAGAAGTGATCTTATTCTCTATAAATACTCTCCAACACCGTGTTTTTATTCATTATATACAACAGTACTTAATACTTCTTATATTTTGAGGTTAATATCTATGTCATCTCCTCGGCTAGAGGTTTCCTGAGAGTAAGGACAGTTGAAATCTGTCCATCTCTGCAGCCTCTATAGAAGCCCTTCTCAAAGTATCTACAGTGAAGAACCAGTTTTTTAAAAAAAAATTATTTGCAATTCTTAACAGACTAGTATTTTTGTGAAATACAGTGCAAATGATTAGTAAAAAAATGGTCAAGGCTGGCTACAGTGGCTCATGTCTATAAGCACTCTGGGAGGCCAAGGCTGGCAGATCATTTGGGCTCAGGAGTTTGAGACCAGCCTGAGTAAGAGTGAGACCCCATCTCTACTAAAAAAATAGAAAGAAATTAGCTGGCCAACTAAAATTATATAGAGAAAAAATTAGCCAGGCATGGTGGCGCATGCCGTAGTCCCAGCTACTCGGGAGGCTGAGGCAGAAGGATTGCTTGAGCCCAGGAGTTTGAGGTTGCTGTGAGCTAGGCTAATGCCATGGCACTCTAGCCCGGGCAACAAAGTGAGACTTTGTCTCAAAAAAATAAAAAAAAGGTCAAGCTCTTGGAAGTCTCGGCTGTACCCTAGTGTTGTAAACGGTTCTAAGTGCTTACTCTCAGTCTCTGCTCTCACTCCATCGTGAGCTGGGAACAAGCAGTTCAGGGGCTGATGGCTCTTTGAGCAGCACTGGCCGGCACAGTGGCTTTCACAGCAAGACGCTACTGTATCAGTGGTTCTCGAATGTGGGGAGGCAACAATATCGCCTGGAAAGCTTGTGAAAATACAGCTGGGCCAACCCCCCAAAGTTTGTGACTTAGTACATAGGGCCTCAGAATTGTCATTTCTAACTAGTTCCCAGGTGATGCTTTTGTTGCATAGGAGGGACCACTGTTTGAGAAACAAGCCGCTAAGGGAATGAACACATGTCAACTACACTGCCCCCTTGTGTTGGTCGCCTGTCCTCTACCAGGCAGAGCCCCTGAAACTGACTTAAATCTACCCCACAGCAGTGATTACCAGCCACCGCGTGTTACACACTTGCCGAGGGGTTCCAGACGCGAAGACAGCGTGAGAAGACAGAACAGTCCTACCTTGGGGCTGTTCTGGGCCCAGTTCCTCCACAGGTGGCTGCACAGGTGATGCTGGAGGTGCCATCGCAGCTGAAGGCCCCAGGGATGGCCTGGGTGATGTGGATGCCTGGGAGGGTGAGGGTCTGGGTGTTGATCCAGATGGTTGTGCCAGCTGCTGAGGTGACACAGGTGACAACCCAGGTGGTGTGATGGGCAGTGGTGAGCCAGGAGGTGAGTGCATAGCTGGGAGTGACCCAGGTGGCCAGTCAGCTGGAGAATGTGGCAGTGACGAGGCCGGTGGCCATGCAGGTGACTGCTCAAATGAAGAGACAGGTGGTGAAACAGGCGACTCCACAGGCCACTCACATGCGGGTGCAGGTGTCTGCGCGGGTGGGGACACAGGTGGAACATGGCCACCACTTCCATCCCCTTTGGGAGCCGACTGCGTGTGAAGTTGTGCGGATCCTTCCAGACTGGCCTGCTGCGTCTGGGGGCTCGGTTGAGTGCGTCCGGGGCACTCGTTGCCCAGGGCGAGCTCTATCTGGCAGTACACTTCCACCCGGGGGAAAATCACTCTCTTGGAGGGAGAATCCAGGTAGGCAGCATCTAGGGGAAACAACAGCAGGGTCACAGGTGGCGTTGCTGACCCCTATATCAGCACGGCGAAGCCAAAACTGCCTTCCCAAGTGGTTTTCATAAACAGGATAAGTGCTTTTCAATGGCTTTTCTTTACTTACTAGAATTTATAGTGGGTAAAAACAACTGCGATGGGTCCTGGGCCCTAGGAGCTGGTGTGGGGAAGCAGGCATTGCCCCCACGCCCCAATAATCTGAAGTTTTAACTGAGGCCAGTGCTAGGAAAGAGAGGAACGTGGTGCTATGAGGGCAGGAAGCTTCTCTGAGGGAGTGACCGTGAGCTCTGAAGGGCGAGTGGTCCGGGATGGCCGGGCAGGACAGGGAGGGGCACCTCAGCAGCGGGAACAAATCCCACAATGCCACAGGGCTTGAGGATGAACCAGGAGGTGGGGCCTGAAAGGTCAGAGGTCACTGTGGCTGGAACAAGGGTGTGGGCCGGGTCTGTGGTGGGACAGGGAGCTGAGGAGGCCACAGGGGCCAGGCCGCATAGGGCTGTGGCATGACCGTTTAGGCAGGGGAGGTGATGAGCTGACTGGCTTTGAGAAGGGCCAAAGCCCTTCCACTGTGGCTGTGGAGACTGACTGAGAGGGGCAAGAGGGGATCCAGGCAAACCTGCCAGGGTGCTGCTGGGTGCTGCTGGCGCCTGGAAGGACATGGAAAGAAGTAGATTCTGTTTAGGAGGTAAAATAAATGAAAGTTGATGATGGACCGATGGGGGGGATGGGAGGGGAGGCAGGTGACTTGCATGGCCCATGGACATGGACGCTGGTGCATTTGCTGAGGGGGTAACCATGGGAGGGGCTAGGGCTGGGAGGAGTGGGAGAGCACAGACTATGAGTTTGTTTGGGGACACGTTGAGTTTAGGGACCTGTGAGATGCTCAAGGAGAGAGGACAAGTGGGCAGTTGGCTGTGTGGGTTTGGATCTCAGAAGACAGATAGGCTAGAGATGTGCAGTGGAGCAGCACACGGGTGGTGACGGAAGCCGGGTGGCGGCTGTGGAGGAGCTTGCCTAGGGAGGAGACGCAGAGGGAGAAGGGGAGGAGCCGGGATTGAGTCCCAGAGGGAGAGAGCAGAACACAGGGCAAGTTTTCTGAAACAGGCAGGTTCACAAGTTGCTGGTAGGAGGGGGAGCAGTTGGGAGGGAGGTTGGAAATGTGAGAGAAAGAGAGCCCTGTTTCAGGGAGGGCCATGGAATGGGGAGGGGTCTGAAGGGAGGGGTGGGCTCTGGGCAGGAAGAGGGATGCTACCTCAGTGTGCCAGGAGGGAGGGGACAGGAAGAGGTGAGTGGGTGTATGTGGTAGTAGGGAACTTCCCCCTGATGGCTTTGATTTTCTCTGCAAAGCAGGAGGCAAGGTCCTCTGCTGGAAATCAGGGAAGTGGAAGGTCTGAGCTGACAATTGCAAAGGATGACAGAGTAGCTGGACAAGAGAAATACAGTGTGATTGCTTTTTGTGTAGAAATGGATAGGCTAATTCTAAAATTCATATGCAAATACGAAGACCTAGACTACCCAAAACAACTCTGGAAAAGAACAAAGTTGGAGGAGGACTAACATTACTTGGTTTTAAGATTTATTATAAAGCTACAATGACCAAGTGTAATAGTATTGGTGTAAAAAGATAGAGAAATCTATTTTTTTTTTTTTTTTGAGACAGTCCAACCCGTTCTGGCTAGAGTGAGTGCTGTGGTGTCAGCCTAGCTCACAGCAACCTTAGTCTCCTGGGCTCAAGTGATCCTACTGCCTCAGCCTCCTGAGTAGCTTGGACTACAGGCATGTGCCACCATGCCTGGCTAATTTTTTGTATATATATTTTTAGTTGGTCAATTAATTTCTTTCTATTTTTAGTAGAGATAGGGTCTCCCTCAGGCTGGTTTCGAACTCCTGACCTTGAGCAATCCGCCGGCCTTGGCCTCCCAGAATGCTAGGATTACAAGTGTGAGCCACCGCGCCGGCCTTAGAGAAATCTATTAAGGTGTAAAATAAAAGTCTGGAAATAGCTCATGACATATGGACAACTGATTTTAGTCAAAGGTGCAAAACCATTTCAATGGAGGATCATCTTTTCAACAAACAATGCTGGAACAATTGGATATCCAACAAAACAACCCCCCCAGAAAAACCCCAAACCCCCTTTGATTTATACTTCATGCCATATCTAAAAATTAACTCAGAATAAGTCATTAATTAAAAAATGAAAAACTGAAAACTTCTAGAAGAAAACATAGGAGGAAAAAAATGCTTGTGGCCTTGAGTAAGGTAAAGGGTTCTTAGATAAGACACTGAAAACATGATCCATAAAGGGAAAAAACTAATAATATGGACACCATAAAAATTTAAAACTTCTCTTTGGATGATGCTATTAGGGAATTGAAAAGGCAGATCACAGACCAGGAGAAAATATTTGCAAATTATATTTCTGATAAAGGGCATTTATCTAGACCAGGGGTGGGGAACCTGTGGCCTTCTAGGTCCTTAAGTTCAGCCTTTTGACAGAATACAAATTTTACAGAACAAATCTTTTTTATTTTTATTAGTACATTTTTGTTCATCTTCTATATTTTTATTTTATTTTTAAAATGAATGTATTTAAAATGCCAAAGAATAACATAAGTTTCAATGAAATAATCCTCTCAGACTGACTGGCACAATTAGAACATTAGTAGCCATCAGGGCTAAAGTGACAGCTGCTATGCTCATGATTTAGTTCTATCCTCCCCCACTTGTCTGGCACCACTACCGCACAAGGCTGGTTGGTGAGAGTTTTGGGGGATCGAGTACGCCTATCTGTAACCATGTTTCTGTTTGAAGTGGAATCTGTGAATAGCTGCACAGTTCGACAGTATTTCTTAATTCTGTCTGCTTAACAGCCCATCATGTCAAAGAAGACCAAGAAAACACCAAAGGAAGAAAACAGATTTTTTTAATGAGGATTGGGAATTGCAATATTATCTTGTTTCTGCTAAAGATAAGATGATTTGGTTGCTTTGTGATACTGCAATGTCAACATTAAAGAAATTCAATGCTTATCAACATTATAAGACTCATAAGGACCACAAATATTTTAAATTAGGAGGAGAGGCATGAAAAGTTGTATTGCAGAAATTTAAAGATGAAAAGCAAAGGCAAAGACAATTCTTTCAAGCAGCAATAAGACCTGGAAATAATGCCACTAAAGTAACTTGTAAAGTAGCTTACACACTCGGGGGAAAAAGGGAAGCCATTCAGTGATGTAGAGATTGTGAAACAATGAATGCATTGTTAAATTTGTAGGATGCTTAGACCCTGATAATGTTTCAAAGCACAAACAACCGCCTCTTTCAAGGAGAACCATAACTGATTGGCAGCATGAATTAGCCTTCAACTTAACAGAACAACTCATGCAATACGTCAAAAGGAAAATATATTAATATATTATTCAATCTCCTTGGATGAATCAACTGATACTACTGATTTGGCACAGGTTTAATACTTAAATTTGAGTCATAACAGAAGATTTTCTTTGCCATGAAGAGTTACTCGCTTTGGGCACTCCTGTGAACAAAACACAGGGAACAGATATCTTCAACTTTCAAGATAAGTGTCATGAAGTTGGATTGAATTTGGTAACTTTAGTGAGTGTACATAGAGGCAGTGCACCTTCCTTGACAGGAAAACATGAAGGGTTTATTACACAGATTTAAAAAAAGTATTAACAGATCCAGATGCTCTCACTCATTTTCATTGTATCTTGCATCAGCAAAATCTCTGTGCTAAAGCCACTATTTTAAGGGACACTTTGCAACAAGTTATAAGTATTGTTAACTATATTTGTGCAAATGCAACACAGCATCATCAGTTTTATAACATGCTAAAGCTGAATGATAAGGTATTCAGTGTGGATTTACCGTATCATTCTAAAATGCATTGACTATCACAGGTACAGGTATTAGCCAAAATTTTATCTTTTCTAGAACAGATAAATTTTATGAGGAACAAAATCAGCAATGTGAATTACTGAAAGAAGATTTCTATAGGAATATAGAATTTCTGTGTGATATCTTTTTTTTTGGAGACAGAGTCTCGCTTTGTCGCCCAGGCTAGAGTGAGTGCTGTGGATCAGCTAGCTCACAGCAACCTCAACTCCGTGGGCTCAAGTGATCCTCCTGCTCCAGCTCCCAAGTGCTGGACTACAGGCTGCGCCACCACCCCAGCTAATTTTTTTCTATTATATTAGTTGGCCAATTAATTTCTTTCTATTTATAGTAGAGACGGGGTTTCGCTCTTGCTCAGGCTAGTTTCGAACTCCTGACCTCAGCAATTCGCCCACCTCAGCCTCCCAGAGTGCTAGGATTACAGGCGTGAGGCCAATATCTTGTAAAATCAAAACAATCTGAATATTTCATTGCAGGGTAAAACTAAGTCTATATACGATATGGGGCAAAAATTCCAAGCATTTTCTTAAAAAGCTATCTTTTCTCAGAACACTTCTTTAACGGAAATTTCAGATGAACATTTTCCCCAGTTAGCAAAGATCCTTGATGAGCAGGATGATACATGTGAATCATTTAAAGAATATGCAGCTGTTATAGACATTGTATTAGAGAATACAATGAAAGGTTCACTGACTTTGAGAATCATGACATCACACTCAATTAGCATTTCAGCCTCACCTAGTTGACATCACCAAGGCACCTAAAGAACTACAGATGGAATTGATTGAGCTCCCAGTAGATAACATTTTAAAATCATTGCTTGATGCTAAGAAAAATCCAATTGAAATATGGAAAAATGCAGTAAAATATCCACACCTTTGGCAACATGCCTGAAAAATACTTTCTTGCTTTTCAACCACTTATTGCTGTAAATCTACATTCTCCTACCTAACCCAAATCAAGATGCCTTTACAATTACAAATGACTGATTCCCGTCTAGAGGATCAACTGAAACTGTGGACCTCCATGCTGCAACCAATTATTCAAATGCCTTCCAA